GGTGCTGGAGAAGAGTATTGACTATCGCATGGCCTGCCAAGAGAACAAAGAAATATATCCTCAAGAATGTGAAACTAGTGTGCTCCTTGGAGGTCAAGATGGTCAAAACTTTGTCTCACACACTTTGGGCATATTCTCATGAGAGTCCTTGGGAAGTACATCATGCTTGGAAAGGTAGAGGGTTCGTGTAAGAGAGGAAGACCTTGGATGAGATGATTGACACAGTGACTTCAGCAGTGGGGTCAAATGTGTCAGAGATGAGGTTGGCTCAGGACAGGGCAAGGTTCAGAGTCATTTATAGGGTTGCTACAAGTTGTGGTTGACTTAAGGGCACAGAACAACAGCAAATGAGAGAGTAGATGAACCAGTAAACAGAAGGAAAGAGTAGACTAAAGATTTACTCTTTCAGTCAATAAATGTTTACTGAGTACCAACTATGTACTAGGATTTTGTTTCTATGAATTTCCCTGGCTCCCTGGGGGCAAAGCCACTATAGCTTTTGGGTTGCCATGAGGAAGTAGGCCCAGGCATTTCTGTACCCACTGGCTCCATCTTGGTTCCTTTCCCCCTTCCTTGCTGTAGATCTCAGGGATTTTTGGTTTTGGAGCCTGTTTCTATGCCTGTGGCCCCAGGGAACATAATGTCAGCTCTTCCCTTCCCTCAGTCACTCAGGGCCCCCTCTCTCTGTGTCTCCACAGGGGCCCCAGCCAGCTGGGATGCTTATCGAGCGCTCCTCAGACTTTGGCAAGACCTGGAAGGTGTACCAGTACCTGGCCGCTGACTGTACCTCCACCTTCCCTCGGGTGCAGCAGGGCCAGCCGCAGAGGTGGCAAGATACCCGGTGCCGGTCTCTCCCCCAGAAGACTAATGGCCACCCGAATGGCGGGAAGGTAGGCAGAGGGACACAACCTGCACAAGGTGACGTGGGGAGAGCTCTCTGGTATCACGCTACTCACTATCACACAGGCTCACGCTTGGGCAGACCTCTCCCCAATCCCAGCAAACCTGGTCTTGCCCTTCTGACAGATGGTGGTCTCAGTGACTCACTGTCCAGTTCAGAAGTTGGCTGGAAAAGAGATGAGTTTGTTCTTGGTCAGCTCACTTGCCATTTTTCCTGAACTCTTCAATGATGAACCTTTTGGCCACACACAAAACATTTGCTGTTCATCTCTTTGCCTCCCAGTTGGGATATTTAAGAAATACTTGGAAAACCAAATAACACCTTGAATTCACTACATAACCCAGCCCTACTCTTTCACACAACTTTTTCCCCCAATGGCTCATTGGTCCTATTCGTGCAGTTAAGAGGATGAAACCGACTATATTCCAGTGTGAGGACTTTTGGATTATTAGTTAGCTACGAATGAGTAAATAACACAGATTTAACTTAAATTTTAATTTATCTCGTTTTGCCCTATTAGGATTTAATACAAGACTTAATATCTCAGGTTTAATCCACTGAGTAGTAGGGCCCCAGCTATTTTTTTTTTAAATTATTATTGTTTTTCTTGTGTGTACCATCAAATCAGATCTGACTGGTACAGGAGGAGATTGCCCCTCCTTCTCCTGCAGAGCATCTGGTGGAGTAGAACCACATACCTCTGGGATTGCAGTGCAGCTTCTTGGCACTAGGCCACCAGAGCTCCCTAGGCCCCAGTTCTTGAGGCTTTGATTCAGTGGTAGGATGCTCATCTTCCAGGTGGGAGACTTGGTTTGCTTTCCAGTCAATGCATCTCATGCACAGACACCACTGTGTTGTGCTGCTATGATACCTGAAAGGAGACTCAGATCCACTTCTGAAAATCAGACAATGAGAACTCTTTGAATCATAATAGTCCTGTCTTGCACATGGGACTGTCATGAGTCCAGGCAACGATGACGACAATGATAAATGTCAGGTACGAATGACAAAATAAAGTCATTTGGGTTCATTCAGATGTAACCCATCATTCAAGTCACCTGAGCATGAACTCAGAGCTAGAAGTCAGACTGTCTCTGGAAACATTTCAGAATGTTTTTCCCCTAATTCTCTCAATCTGAGTCTAGCTTTTGTATTTTTTTTCACAGCCGCTCCCCCCATCCTAGACGTAGGCAGCATTTCCCCTTGTGTCTCAGCTACAAGGCAGCTCCCATTGGACTGAGAGAGGGCTGGGCCATGCCCTGTCCGTGGATAGCATGGCTCCCCTTTGGTTCTAACACTTCCTCTTTGGTCATAACTTTGTCCAAATCCATTAGCCACATTCCTGGGATTCCAGGTCAGAAAACAAGCACTCTTTCCTGATTTGTGGAGAATTGATTGTGAAAACTCTCCTCTGGATGCAGTCATAGCTCATAAGTGGTTTCCAGTAAAAAGAAAACATAGTTGAAATCATAGTGATCCGGAAGGCTGTGGCCAGTTGCCACATCTGTGCACCCAGGGCTCCGTATCCTCTCACTCATGCTGAGTTATGGGAAGATGAGGTTTCCCCACCCCTTGTGACTCAGTGGTTAAGCTCTCAGCTGTTCCCTGGCAGCTTCAACTCCCCTGACACCCTGTAGGAGAGAGAAAGGCCAGGGAGTCTGCTTCTTTGAGACTCCTAAAAAGCAAGTCTGTCCCATAAGGTTGCTATCAATTGAAATTGTCTTGGTGATGGGTTGTTTTGGGTTCTGATTTTTGTTTGTTTGGTTTATCGTTAACTTTTGTGTGAGATTATATACTTCATCCTCACTTTTGGCTAAAGGAAATCAATGACTTTTTGGTATGCCTTCCCTTTTAATTGGAGAGGAAAGGTTACACACACTCACACCCAAAAAACACAGCAACACACACACACACACACACACACACACACACACACACACACACACTCACTCACACACACTCAGAGTCCTTTGAGGCTCAGTGACCATCTCCTTCGTCCAGAGCAGTTGGCCAGCCTCACAGCCATGGTCACCTTAGATTGCAGGAAGAATGGCCTTAGAGGAAGTCTTTGAGGACAGGGCATTGAGGGGGAAAGGGCCTCTTTGATCTCTTCTTCATCCCCTTCCTCTCCCCTCTCTCTACAGGTCCAAATTAACATCTTGGATTTAGCCTCTGGGATTCCAGCATCTAAAAGTCAAAAGATTCAAGGTCAGTGTGGTTACTCTTCTAGTTTATTGGACAGAGTACGGGTGTGAAGAGTGGAGGAAGGTTGGAACCCACATCACGGACATTTTCTGATCTTCCATTTTTGTCATTGTTGTTGGAGATTAAATGCTTTTCCCTGCCTATCCTGTAGAGGTACTGTGGTAGCCTGTGATTTGGAAAGTCTAGGCTGGGAGAATCTTTTCCTCAAGACAGTGGATGACCATCAGAGATTGAGGCTGCGAATGGTGGCCCCTGTTGTAACTTTAATAAGCCAAGGAGGAAGGGCTGGGCTGGTAGGATGGGAATTCTTTTCTTCACCCCCCTGTTCTGGGAGAGTCTGTTTACCTCTAACTTTGTTTTTCCTTCCCAACCTTCTCTGTTGTCACTGTTTCCGCCCCTCTCAGAGCTAGGAGAGATCACAAACTTGAGAATCAACTTCACCAGGCTAGCCCCTGTGTCCAGGAGGGGCTACCACTCACCCAGTGCCTACTATGCAGTATCTCAGCTACGTCTGCAAGGGAGCTGCTTCTGCCATGGCCATGCTGACCGCTGTGCCCCCACGTCTGGAGGCCAAGCTGGTTCCTCCACTGCTGTGCAGGTGACAGCTGGGGTGGAAGGGGAGAGGGGCTGGGGACATAGGTAAGGCAGGCTCATGGCTGATATTTTGTAAGTAAAAGAACATCTTTAGGAGAACATGAAGTTTAAACAATGAATAATTAATGTTTAAATAGGGGGGAAGAATCTAAAGTGATCATCTCAAAATTCCTAATTCTGTAGCATTTCTATGTTTTGAGATGACTTTTAATTTGAGGGATGTATAAGTAAGTATGTTGGTATATGGGTGCTGGAGGAGCTTAAGGTAGTGCTTTTCCATCCTGGCTGCATAAGGAAAAAAGTCTTAGTCAGTACCTAGACCCTTAACCTTAGATGCGGAACCACATTGTTTTGTTGTTGTTAAATAGTATTTAGAGCAGTTTTAAGTTGATAGAGAAATTACAGAGTTTCTATCTCCCTAACTTAGTTGTTATTATTCTCAACATCTAACACTTCTAGGTACATTGGTTCCAATTGATTGAACCAGTATTCACGTGCTATTTTTAATTACATTTTGTGTTATACAGTCTAATGGGTTTTACCATAACGTCCTGTACCCACCATTACAGTGTCACACAGAATAGTTGCTCTGCCCTTAACATTCCTTCAGTTTCACCCTTCATCCCTCTTCTGAACCACTGTAAACCACTGATATTACCATCTCTTACTTTTCCAACCAGAATGGCATGTAGTTTGAACCATACAGAATGCAGAACTATATTTTTTAATAAGTAATTCTTTCACTTCCCAACCAAGAACCCAAACCCATTGCCACCAAGTCCAATTCAGCTTATAGCAGCTCCCCATTAGGTTTCTGAAGCTGTAAACTTTTACATGAGGAGCCTTCCCATGTTTTTTCCAAGTAGTGGCTGGTGGATTCAAACCACTGACTTTTCAGTTAGCAGATCAACTTGTTATGCACATCACCACTGGGGCTCATATTTTAGGTCCTACCATGCCTTTTCATGAGCAATAGTTCCTTTCTTTTTACCATGAAATAAGAGCCCATTTTATAGACATACCATAATTTCTTTATCCACTCTTAGGTCAAAGGACATCTTGGTCAATTACTGGTTTTTAAAGCTCCCAGTTGTTTCTAACATATGCTAGCGTTGAGAACCAGCGATTTAGAAGTCTGTACTGAGTAGAGAGATACAGGACAGGGTGACAGAGAGCTGAATCTAGTATAGATGCTAAGTCAGTCCTCAGACCAGCTAAATAAAACTCTTTAAAGTTCTCAGCTTGAAACTCTGTAATTTAATCAAGGTATTTTGCTGTGGGATCTGACTTAGGAACCACTAGTGGAGAAATGAGAATGTTGGTTGAAGAAGCAGAGGGCTCTGTCATTTCATTTTTCTGGGGCTTAAATTCCTCAGGAAACAAAAACATTGATACCCAAACCAGTTGCTGTCAGGTTGATACCAACTTGTGATGATCTCATGCATACCAGAGTGGAAATATGTGTGTGCCATAGGGTTTCCAATGCCTGATTTTTTTGACATAAACCAGCAGCTCTTTCTTCTGCTGGTGGGTGGATTTGACTCGCCAGTTTAAATCCTGTAAAGTGACCTGGGAGGGAAATGCAGGTGGAATGAGCGGGCAGTAGTCAGCTGTTCTCATACTTCTCGATCAGCTCTTCCTCAGGCTTCAGGGAAGTCCAGTGTGAGTGCTGCTCAGGGGGGTGATTAGGGCTGATGGACAAACATCTATGACATGTGGAGCTGGCTGCCATCTGCAGAATGTGGAGGGCAGTGGGATTCAGGGAGGGAGAGCTCACCCTACTGTGCTGTTCTCAAATCTAGTGCAGATTGGAAGCACCACTTACAAACATGGCCATTGTTTCCAATACATGGTGGAAAAGACGAAGTGATAGGCAATGAAATTGTTGGTTTCTAGGGGCTCTGGGGAGAGGTAGAGAGGTAAGTAGGTGGAGTCCAGGTTGGTTCTGTGCTTAAGCACCTGACTCCTAACCAAAATGTCAACAGTGTGAAGCTTCCAGCCACTCTAAGCTGTGGCTGTCTGACGCTAAAGAGTGCCCACTGCAGTTAAGTCTGGAGGAGATTGCCACGTTCTCCATCAGAGAGGTTAGAGGAGTCCAACCAGCAACTTGGAGCTAGCAGCCTGATAAACTATGTTCTATGTCACCGAGCGAGCTCTGGTGGCTTAGTGGGAAGGAGTTGTGCTGCCAATCCATAGGCATGCAGCTCAAATGCCCCAGTTGCTCTGTGGAAGAAAGCCAGACAGTCTCCTCTTGAGTGAAAACCCGCTGGAGGGTCAGCTGTGAATCAGTTCCAGCTCTACAGTACACAACAACAGGAACAGCAAGTCACCAGGGCCCTGTAACGATTACAGGCTTGACAATCCTGTGGTTCTGCTTTGTCCTAGAGGATTATTATAAGTCACAATTAACTCAGCAACAGCAAGTGTGTGTTTGCTTGTTTGACATAATGCATTATGTGTTGGCATTTATAACCCACAGATTAGATTGGTTATCTATGGGATATCCATAGGCTAACTGATAGGATAGTGGTTGGAATCCACAAGCCACTCCATAGGAGAGAGATGAGGCGAGGCAGTGTCTTTTAGTAAAGATTTCCAGCCCTAAAAACTCCACAATGGATTTAGTGAGAGAGAAACAGCACCCAGAGGAGAGGGAGAACTCTCTATATTCTGTATATAATTTTGATAATGTTTTTAAAATTTATATTGGTTTGTATACAAAATGAGCATACACTGTATTTGATTTATGCGGGTTGTATTTCACATTGTTCCTAATTCACATTGTGTTGCATACATTCAAATACCTCGTGTTTTATAAAATTAATTGCCATTGATCTATGCCTACTATTACCTCATCTTTTCAAGTCCCCATTCGATCTTTCCTAATTCCTTCACACATCCTTCTCCACCCACCAAACTATATTATCATACTGATTCCCTATCCTC